CTATATGCACAAAGTATTGGCTACTATTGCTCAAGATAACAATCTTTGACCAAATGAATACTCATCATCTCTCTTTCTTCACATGTATTCTTCTCCCTCACTCCTTTACGTCCAAGTTGTAGGCAATATAGAAAGGAACTGAGGAATAATTTCACTGGATAAAGATAACTAAATAGACATAGCAAACAGAAGTGTATGGAAAAGTGTAACTTCGATTGAAGTCCAAACCCAAGTGAAAGAGAAACTGCTATAATTCTCTCAAACCAATAGCACCACATGCATCACTATAAGATAATAGACACAATTCGATACATACACCATGGATGCGGGTGCCAGCATTGATGCGTTGGATCCATAGGGAGCGCATGTCTCGCTTCTTGGTGCGGCGATCCCTGTAGGAATACTGCAAGGCCTTCTCCACCCTCTCTCTGGCAATCCTTATACAATTCTTGGCCCTTCCCCTGAAGCCCTTGGCTAGCTTGAAAATCTTATCCTTGTTCATTGTTCACTTTCCCTTAATTTCTTAAAAGATCAACACACACACACACACACAGAACACCAACAAAACATAATCAGCGTAGGAATTATCAGTTATTTAAAAGATCCATTTCCTCCTATTACAGAACAAAGCCAGACAAGTATTCATAAAGGGAAATTCCCCATTGGACAGCAGAGGATCCAGTAGAATGATATAAATTACTTATAAAGTCCGAATATTACAAAGACGTCAATCCCTTAACAACCAGTTTAAGAGAAAATATTGATTTTGCGCAACAAATTCTATTGCCAAGAGGGAAATTAAAACTCTCATCAACAATTTAAGCAGTGACTCTTCAGGCTTGACATACTGGAATGTAAAAGAGTTGCACAAAGTTCAATAGGAAACTATAATTCATAAAATAGCTTATTAACTAAGAAAGATGGGTTTTTGCCACTCACCTGAGCCTATCTGAGGTGGGTTCCTTTCTGTATCAGCAGCTTCGAGTTGCACAAACGTGCCAAGAGACCAATCAAAAGGAACAACTTTTTAATTTATAATCAATAATACCGAGAACGAAGGAGGAAGAAGAAGAAGAAGGAACAAGCTTTTTAATGCGCACCCACTGTGTGGACACTGTGGAGGAGGTACCTTAAAATGGTGAGAGTTGAGAAACAAACTGGTTTGGATGAGCAGCGGGTAGTGTGGAGGCGATTGAGAAAGAACATGGATGGGCAATCTATAATATTGAACCAAGAATGTGGGCAGTTCTGTCCAAACACAATTTAGCAGCTAAATTTCCAATGGCCCATTAAGAACCTTAGATAAATAGAGCCCAACCCAAAAAACTGAACCACAAAAATTGGAGGACAGAAAATCCGACCCATGTTGATTTTAACCGGGTATCGTTTGCTCATGGAAAGGGTAGTGATGAGTCTACTTTGACACTGTTGTCTCAGCTCAAAAAATATGCAGCATCTTCCAGCCCGCCTGGTAAAGTCTCTGTCTGCTACTTCTTTACCATGCACCACTACCCTTCAAGAACTTGCCTCTGCTCACCCCAAAGGTATGTCCTTTTCTATCTATCTATCTATCTCTCTCTCTCTCTCCTTTCCTCTCTTTTTTGTGTTAAGTTTTTCTTTTCTTTTCTTATTTTTGATTATATAGGGGCTTTGTTGAGCATATGGTATCTCTAAAACCATCATTCCATGTGTTTGTTTGAATGTGAATTATGAAGCTTTTGGCGTTTGGGTCTGTTTAATTTGTTTTCTTAATCGAAACAGAGCTACCAATTTAAAGTATAACTGGATTGGGTGTATATTGTATGTTGGCAAGATGGTCCACCACGGGCAAGGAGAAATAATATGCAAGAAGAAAGTCGTTGATTTTTTGTAACTTGTGTGAGACTCAGCAGTATGCTTGCGCTCATTGTAATTATGTCTCGGTCAAGCTCAAAACCATGTACATATATATACCTGATAGTGGATGATTTGGGTCTGTTTAATTTGTTTTCTTAATCGAAACAGAGCTACCAATTTAAAGTATAACTGGATTGGGTGTATATTGTATGTTGGCCAGATGGTCCACCACGGGCAAGGAGAAATAATATGCAAGAAGAAAGTCATTGATTTTTTGTAACTTGTGTGAGACTCAGCAGTATGCTTGCGCTCATTGTAATTATGTCTTGGTCAAGCTCAAAACCATTTACATATATATACCTGATAGTGGATGATCCGTTTAGTTTTTTTTCCCAGTCATTTGTTTTCTCTTTCTAAATGCGACATGTATCTTCCTACATGCTGCATCTTGCTAGAAATAACCTAATTCCAGATTTTCATGTCAACTTAAATTAAAAAAATTCCTATCATCCAAAAGAAAGGTTTTTATTTTTTGTTCCCTTAAGCTTATTTTGATGCTAGAAATGCCTGCTTTTCTTGATGAGCTTTCAATCCATCGAATAATTTTTTTAAAAATTTCTTAAACATCATGGTACTTGGTCTGGCCTTGGTAGGTGTTGCGAGGGTCGTCTTGAAAAAGGGGAAGACACAATTATTCAAGGATGGAAGCCCAATGGTTTACAGCGGAGCAGTTGATAGAATAATTGGTAGACCACCACCTAGGACTGGAGACATTGTGCTGGTAGCTGATGGGGCAGAAAAACCAATAGGCTGGGGCATGTATAATTCCGTCTCCATGTTCTGTGTTCGGCTGATGCAGCTGGAAGAGGAAGCAACGAGGTACTACTCATATGAGGCCTTTCTAGTTCTGATTTATCATCACCTTCACATGGATGTTTAAATTGTTAACCTTTATAAAACAGGGATTTGTCATGTGCATTGAACATGGAGAAACTACTTGAGACAAGAATTCATGAAGCTATGGAACTACGTAAGAGTTTGGGGCTTCCATCAGCTAGTACAAATGCATTCCGTCTTGTCAATAGTGAAGGAGACAGGTACTTGACCTTAGTCTATTGAGATTTTTTATAGTATATTTACAGAGAATTGCACCCATAATATCTCTAGAAGTCATTGCTAGTTTAGTATGAGATAATGATTCTCCCCTTGTCTTTTGTTAGAAAGTCCATATCTGGCACTTCAGAACTAAAGACACACTCATTAAGCTAATTATTTGACATACCAGTAATAATTAAGCTCCTCCAGGAGTTGAACATGTTTGGATGTTATTTTGTCTGCATATAGGGATTGAGAGCAACTTCTTAAGGTTGTATTTTGATAGGAAACTCGTTAAGTTTGAAATTGAATTAGTGTAAATGAAATCTGTAGAATATATATAATTTGATCTGAAATGTTTAGTTTTTAGTGGTAACACTAAATTGTTATTTGGGGCTCCATAGCTTTTTGGT